TAATAAGAACCCTATTTCGTCCTTTTTCCCCTCCCACGCGTGCCTCCATAAAAGCCTTCTTCTTCGCCCTCCGCTTTTCATTTCTCCTCATTCTCCCTTCTCTCTCTAAAACTCTCCTTCTCTCTTAACCCTTCAGATCTCTGAACCTCTATGGCCACGTCATCGCCGTCGCCGACGACGTCGTATTGGTGCTACAGATGCACTCGCTTCGTCCGTGTCTGGGTCCAGGACTCTACCCTCTCATGCCCCCACTGCGAAACCGGTTTTCTAGAAGAGATCGAAACGACGCCGCAACCACAGCCACCGCCGATCCATCACCACCATCGATTCCCGTCCACCCACGTCCACGATCAAAACCCGGCTCCGACTTCCCGCCGAGTCCGTCGAGCCACCGTAGACCGGTCCTCCCCCTTCAACCCGGTTATTGTCCTACGTGGCGGGGCCGAGTCAAATACTGAGTCCAACTCGTTCGAGCTTTATTATGACGACGCTGCCGGGTCGGGGCTCCAGCCCCTCCCGCCCACCATGTCGGAGATCTTAATGGGCTCGGGCTTCGACCGGTTGCTCGACCAGCTCTCCCAGATTGAAATCACCGGGCTGGGCCGACCCGAAAATCCGCCCGCGTCTAAATCAGCCGTGGACTCTATGCCCGTTGTTCAAATCGGCGAAACACACGTCGGGTCGGATGCGCACTGCGCGGTCTGCAAGGAAGCATTCGAACTCGGGTCGGAGGCCCGAGAAATGCCGTGCAAGCACATATACCACTCGGATTGCATCCTCCCCTGGCTTGCTATGCGAAACTCGTGCCCTGTTTGCCGGCACGAGCTGCCCGCCGACCGAAATGACCGAAATTCGGATCCGGGTCTCGACGAAGAGACCATGGGGCTGACCATCTGGAGATTACCCGGCGGTGGGTTCGCTGTGGGGAGATTCTCGGGCGGCAGACGACCCGGAGAGAGGGAATTGCCGGTTGTGTACACGGAAATGGATGGCCCATTCAACGGGAACGGGGCTCCGAGAAGGGTACTATGGTCATCGAGAAGTAGAGGAAGTGAGAGTCATGGGATTCGCAGGGCTTTCCGTAATCTGGCGTCGTTTTGGGGTCGGTTTAGGTCCAATTCGTCTTCTTCGAGGTCCGGGTCCGAATCCGGGTCGGTTTTCAGCAGAAGTCAGAGTCACTCAAGTTCGGTGTTTGGCCGGTTCGTCCAGAGGCGTAGCAGGGCTTGGGTGTTGGATGATTAAAAAGGCCGCAAATTTTGTTTCTTTTTGGGGTTTTATTTATTTATTTTTATATTCATCACTGTATATACTTTTATAGCGTTGGAGTTTCGAAGAATTTCAAGGTTGCCGGATTTGGGTTCTGTGTTCATGAAAAGAGCAACTGAGCTGAGAACTAGCAGGCCTCTGTTTTAAAGCAAAATTTGCTCAAAAGGTAGCATTTTACAGCAAATTCGAAATGTAGTTCTTAAAACTTAATTACAGCAACTTCTTCTGTTGCTCATTTCAGTTTAATTAGTAGATTTTCTTTACACTTAAGTTCGAATTCCCGTCCCGATAAGTTAGAAAAGAAGTTAGATTTTATTTATGAAGTGAGTGACAGCAGAAGTGTCAACTCATAGTTCTGCCTATGTAGCTTGAGAATGTGACCGTGAATGAATGAATGTTTTGTTTGGCCTTTGTGGCTGGAAAGCACCAAATTTTGGCTATCTCTTCTCTCAAATAATTGAAGTTTACAGTGTTTATATCCCGTGAGTTGGGTTGTCATGGGTCATCTCACTTATAGCAAAAAAAAGGATTCATTATTCATCAGAATTATTCCTGAGGCCTAGCTGGCTGATTGGCACCAACAACCTGCCCACTGAGTTTGTTTGTAGGAGGAGCGGGAGCCCTTCCATTATTTATCAGGAAAATTCTTGGTGATGACATTATGAACAACAAATCTTCATCTTCATTTAAACACATGTGATAATAATTCAAATTGTTTATTTTTAAAATTATCATTTAATTTGGAGTTATGGATTTTCAGTTTATTGGGGTAGTATGGGATCTGTAGTGGGCGAACAAATCACATATCATTTCTATAAAAAAAATAAAAATCAATCGAATTGGAGATCCTTTAGTCATCTATATGAGCCAATTAAATGGACATTTCATCATGAGGATCTTAATTGTTATCAAAATTGTTAATTATTTATATATATATATATATGAATTACTAAATGATCTTCAATTTTTTTGATTTTTTTATTCTTTTGCAAACATGATATTTAAATGATGATTTTGAAAATGAACGGTTTCATTTATGACGTGTATGGTGAAGATTCGTTAATCACAACATAATGGATAATGAGGTGCACCGAAAGTTTGCATTTAAGTATTGTCCTACATATAATTAGAAAAATTATTGAATATAAAGAACGTGTAGTTACAGTGAGTATAGAGATATTTCACTAGGATTATTACTGTTACGCGGTCGTATAATCCAATTAAAATATGACGCATAATTAATTTTTATTTCTTAAACACGCGTTTCTTATATAATTAGACACCACTGCCAGTCAGAAGGAACATAAAAATTTCTTTTGCTTCATGTGCTTGTTTCATGATCAGTTATGTTATCAATTATTGCGAAAATGACGTACATAGGGGAGGCTACTGGATTTCCCTATTAGCAGATAAACTTGGTCATATAATTGTTTCTTTATATACATTCAGATTGCCAGGAAGGGCAATAGAATATTAGAACAAAGGGAGCACGCAGATTTTATTTGCTCCTTGATTTGAAGTGATTACTGAATCAAAGTTAAAATAAATGTCCAAGTGAAGCGACTCTACAATATACCCTTGTAGACTATATATAGATGCTCGCTTTGGTTTTTGGCTTTTGGCTTTTGACTTTTGGCTTTTTGCTGCAAGGAAAGTCCAGCCAACTCATATCTAGCTTGCGCACATATGTATATATAGATATTAAAACAAATATTGTTGAGCTTTTTTGTGTTTGGCTGGACAGAAATTGCTAGTCGTTTCTTTTCTGCCAAGCAATTGGAAAGGAATATTCCCCATGGGATATTTTTTGCCTCTGCCCATCACAAAAAAATAAAAAATAAAAAAATAAAAAATAAATATGGCTAGTTCAAGGAGGGCAGATCGTGGAAGCCCGAGTTCACTGAGGGGTTGAAATTAGGCCCAGTTCTCTTTCACTTTTGGTCCAGTTTGGCTGCTTGTACTTCTGTGCTTCGTGGACAGTTTGACTTTTAGATGAGGTCATATTTCTTCATTTTTAGATTAAATTGGTTAATTTTTAGATCAAATTGATTAACATGATTCAACTGCTAAGAGAAAGGACCTCACATAAGGGCCATAACACATTAAATTTAAACCAGAATTTTGTGCAAGATGGCTGTTTTTTTAATTTAGATAAGATTTTATCTGTGCATGATGGAGAACAAATGCAAATTGATATTATCGAAAATGTATCAATAATTTGTCAATATATTTTGTTGGCGATAATAATGTCGATGTTATATCTAAAATATGAGATTATAAAAAATGTTTCGTATGTAGGTATGTAAAAAAATAGGGATAAGTTATTGATACATTTTCGATATAAAAATGTAAGTTTTAAAAAAAATCCTTAGATAGAAAAGTGCTGAGATTATTTTGCATTATATGTACTCTTATATATGATATGAAAAAATGTAGCAATGATCCCTCAAGTAAGCCCCGACTTTACTTTTAGTCCCTTAGCTCCAATAATTATTATGATGGTGCTTCAACTATGCCTTGACTTTCAGAACTCGTCATTTCCGTTAGCCATGTCAACTTTTCCGTGAAAAATATGGCTATATTTGTCTTTTCATGTGCTGGATCCTTAGTAAGCACAACCCATCCTCAACAACCAACTCTCTCTCCTCCAGCCACCCTTTATCGACCTAACTCCACAGATACACCTCCGACCCAAACCTACTCCGACCTCGACCCACTCTCTCATTCTCTCTGTTTGTCAATCCCCTCCTCCTCCCAACCCTTTTCATCGATTGGTCTTCCTCTCAATCAATTGAACAATCTAAACAAAACCCGAAAGGATCATGAGAGAGAGAGAGAGAGAGTTGTCGTTAGGTTTGGGTAGAATGAGGCGGTGACCAGGTAAAAGTCTTATTTGTCCTTAAAATTTGATATGCATTTCCCAATTTGCCTTTAATTTTGACATAAAATTTAACAAAATTAACGGAAGGATGAGTTGTGCAACGTTATATCTAATGAAGGATGACCATAACAATTTTTGGGGTTAAGGGACAAAAAGTAAAGTGGGGTCTTATTTGAAGGACCATTGCTACAATTTTGCCTATATGATAAGTCCAACTATCAATTGAATTTTTAGAATCTAAATTAATATTTTTTGGGATTAATTGGCTGATTGATTATCTATCTATATATATAAAGCAAAAGGTAGAGAATGGTAAAACATTCAAAATACCAAAAAATGTCATTTGTTAATGCAAACATTAGGATTTGAAATTATTAATTAAATGAGGATAATATGGTAAATTCACACTTTTTCATATTTAAAATTAAAAAAAAAAAAAACAGATAATGAATCCTATTTTTATGGAACACAACTACCCATTATCTATTTTAATTCTAAAATAAAATAAAATATTTTTTTAAAAAAACCTCTTGCAAGTGCAGAAGCGCGTGCAAAGAGGCTAGTCAATTTGTAGTAGTTCAGTTATTATTATTTTTTAATCCAAATTTCAATGAAGTTATCTTTCTTTGATTAAAAATAGAAAAAGAAATTCCAAATTTTATTTTTATCTTTCACTTCACTGGTGTGACGTGGCAGATTCGGAATAAGGAGCCCAAATCCTACGGCGTTGGCGCAACCTTGCATGCCTAGGAAGTCGTGGCAGCGGTTGGATCAAAAGCAAGCGGACGTGGCAGCCTCTAGAGCCTTCTCTAAATTAATAAATTAGTATTATTTTCACCAATATATACATTCCCTTTCAAAAAAAGAAGAAAAAGAAAAAGAAAGAAGGAAGCAGAACTAACTGTTCAAACAGGAAGAGCGTTGCTCAATCTCTTTCGTTCCCTCCACTTCTCCAATCTCCGCTTCCACTTTATCTCCCGCAACAAGATCTCTCTACCTGCTCTGTGTTTTGCTTCACATCTGTAAGTCCTTTTCCTTCTCATTCTGTTTGTTTCCGAGAAAATCTGATGGCAATTTTACTATTTGCTGCACTTGTCGTACAATCGCAGTCTCTTTGCTTCTTCCACCAAATCTAAGGTTAAGCATTTCATTTTTCATCTTTGCATAAGTTGTCATTAATTTATATAATTTGTTAGATCTGTGTTTATGTTCATCATTTACATGTATAATGATGGAGTGTGCATGGGCGAATTAGCTAGCAATATGAAATGGGGAATGGAGTAAATGTAGGAAATTATCAAATGAATTGTACCTTTTACATTGTGAATCACAATATAAGCTGAAAAACAATAGTGGAATTGACAGCTTAATCAGAGAGATTTTAACCTTGCATTCAGAATAAGGGAATCTCTCTGAATTTTGTGGTAGAAATGGGGTTGGATCTCTTAAGTTTGCTACACTAATTTTAGGGGTGAAATGTTAACCATTTGGTTGTGTAAAATAGGATATGAGAAATTTTATGGTAAAATTTTCCAGGTGGGAAACTTTTTAAAGATACTTGTTAGAGGAAAATATGATTTGTTGTGGAAAGTTTTTATGAGGCATGTCAGCTTTTCCACTGCTTCACAATTGAATTTTGTTTGTGTAGTAGTAACTGATGTACTTTGGAACTTTTGCAGCTGTTGCAGGTTTGGGAGATATATAAACTGTTACACTCGAATACTCGAGTACTTCACCATACTTATCCCTTTATTAATTTCTTGACAAGGGGAATTCTTTGAAATCTTTTGCAAGTTGCAACTATGAGTTTTGTTTTCCGAGGGGCTAGAGCAGATATTGAAAGTGGCTTTCCAGGATTTATTCCTGAACGACCAGCAATGGTATGTTCATTTACATACATTTACATGTGGAAGTATGCATGCTAGGTTGTATACGTATCTATATGCATTCTGGTCATTTGTAACTCGTACATGTCTTGATGAGTTTATCATGCCATTCTGCTGACTGCTGACACTTTTTCCTTTTTGTATCAGCGTATTCATGCTTCTCGACCAGTAAGCACGAATTCTCTGGCTTTTCTTGTCACGGGTAATGCATTTGTTTCTGTATTTTTTGTTCATTGCATGCCTTGTACTAGACCACATTTTTAATCCATAAGTTGCCTGTTTGCTTAACAGTTATCTTGCTATTCATGCTTTTAAACTCTCACCAGATGTCACCGAATTTTCTGGTATGTTTTCACTGAGCGTCCAATCTAAGCATGCTAGTGATTCACTTAGAAACTTTGGAGAATAGAACTTATATAACAATTAGAAGGAGGTAATCCTCTGTATCTGTGTATGCAGCTCTGGCTAGTTGTGGGTGTCTTTTTGATGGCCACAACCCTGAGGATGTTTGCAACTTGTCAGCAACTTCAAGCACAGGCTAGAGCACATGCTGCAGCTGCCAGTGGCTTGCTTAATCATACGGAACTGCGACTGCACATGCCACCTTCAATAGCTTTTGCAACCAGAGGACGATTACAAGGACTAAGACTCCAGTTGGCACTACTTGACCGGGAGTTTGATGATCTAGGTACTGTCTTTTTGTCTGAATTGTACTTCTTGGATAAGTTTTGTCATCAGAGTGGCTCCCTCTTTGAAGTTAAAGGTGCATTCAAAGATGTCCAAAGCAAGTCTAGATCTCTGGTTTCTAGTTTAGTTGGATTTCGATCATGTGTGTATTGGCAAGATGAATTGTTCTGTACATTCAATTGCAGATTATGATACTTTGAGGGCTCTGGACTCTGATAATGCCTCTACAGCAACTTCAATGAGCGAGGAGGAGATTAATGCCTTACCTGTCCACAAGCACAAAGTCACTGACCCAGAGATCCTGTAAGATGGGAAAAAACTTGCATCACTTCTTGCATGATGTCACTTGTGAGAATTTTTTTTTAATATATCTGCGACTCTTTCAATATATCCATATATAACAAATAGCAGGTTTCTTTTCTTTTTATTCGGATTTAACTTCACCAAATGTGACATTATTTGATAAGATGTCTTTTCTGTTCATAGGGATGATTCATCACTGCAACAGGCATCATCATCTTCAGCCCCAATGGAGGTATTCTCTTGAACCCTTAGTTTGCTTGCCTATTTAATAAGAATTTGCCTGGCGGTTGTTACTTTTTCTTGATTAAAACACAGCTTGTCACTTAACTGTATTACATTGTAAATATATATTTGTGAGCTGTGTTCTGTTTCCAATGAGACTAGGGAAAGGTACAATCAACTTTGAAATCTCATGAGAAGCTTATTAGCACATTTCATTTATTGGTTCTCAGTACACAGTTTTGTTCAGCCATGCGGCAGATGGAATTTGGCCCTGACCTGTTACCTTCTCATCCTTCTTTCAAGCTTTTGGTAATCTGTGGGTGGTAGCTTGGATTGCTGAGTCTGTTTACTTTTCGCATAATTTTCTAACAGTTGGTTGCATGACAAACCCATACCCACATATACATAGTAGTGTATCACATCTCTCTATGTGTCTCTTTGTGGCTTTTCTTTTTCTCTTCCCAAATGCACAGTGCACATTGTCGTCGTTATGCGTACTTTCTGTGGATAGCTTTCAATTTCTTGATTCCATTTTTTCTAGCTGAAAAAGCAAGACTCTAAAAGGGTGGATGGAGGCATGAAGGATCCAGAAGATGAGCTGACATGCAGCATTTGCTTGGAGCAAGTTAATGGAGGGGACCTAGTGCGTAGCTTGCCATGTTTGCATCAGGTACACCCTCTGCCTTCAGTCTTGATATGTGGGTTATTATCATTAGCAGTACATAATGCGATTAGTAAGATTCATTAAATTGCAATCGTTTTCTTGTGCACACTTTCCTCCATGCTCCCTCTTTATTTTAAAAATTCTCACCAAGTGTTGTCAATACTGGTTTCCTGACGTGGTGTCCAACCAAAAAATAAATAAATGAAAAAAGAAAAGAAAGTTGTGGTCATTCTTAATTGCTTATATCTGAGGTTTGAAACTTTGAACTACTCACTATGCTGCGAGTAGTAAAATTTGGAATTTTCCTTTCTAATAATCCAGGCTGTGTGTTGGCCGTTATTTTTGGTTTGTACATTCAAATGCCAAGAGTATCATTTTCTTTTGCAGTTCCATGCCAACTGCATAGATCCATGGCTCCGGCAGCAAGGCACATGCCCTGTGTGCAAATTTAGAGCTGGATCAAGATGGCCGGAGAGCAGGGAGAGCGAATCCGACGGTTCGGACATGGTATAACGAGCCCTCTTGTTACACAACCTGTATACGCAACGTAGTAGTACATACACGCAATGTAGTACAAATACGCAATAAAGCACATATGCTTTTGCAATTTGCAAATAAGGGGATCTTCTGCATCACTTGTATATAACCACAAGGTTTGGGTTCAGGATTATAGAATTATATGTCGCTCAATGATATATGTGTGGGGCTTAGCTCAGTATCTATCATGTCGATATGTCATGCGTAATATTCGTGCGATCTCGACTATGAGAGATGTGACTTTCCATATTATAAAAGAAATAAAGTCTATAGAGATGCAACATATTATTTTGAAGTTTATGCTATTGAATATTGTTTGATTTTGCATCTAACATCACTGAATATATCATGATTTGATGAGTCACATAAAAAAGTACTTGCCATCTTATTTTAGCCGGACCAAATAGAATATTGGTATATAGCTAAGCTAAGCATAGGGGAACAAACAAGCTTCTTGTGGAACTTGTGTAGTACATCAATGCTATACGATCTTCGAAAGTCAAACTTGTACTGCAAAGAGAGAATTAATGCGAGCCAATATATGGCCAGTCAGCTTCTGTTTAATTATTGTTGTTTAACCATTAAACAAGAAGGTTTAAATGTATAAGCAATCAAAACCATTAGATAAATAACTTAGCACACAAGCCATTGGGTTGAGAGGAGCTTCATCAAAATTCATCCATGGCTTCCATCCCTTTCATTAAGACTCTCAACTCAACCTGTGTTTTAGTTTCTTTGCTTCTACTCCTGCAACCGTTTCTAGTCAAGTGTCATGGCGGCGAAGAACACGACAGTGTTAGTGGCACTGAGGACGAACATAAAGTTCTGCATTCGAAAGGCTTGGTTTTGGTGAAAGTATGGTGTTTGATTATTCTACTGGTGAGCACTTTCGCCGGTGGGATCTCCCCCTACTTCTACCGATGGAACGAAAGCTTTCTTCTCTTGGGCACGCAATTTGCTGGTGGGGTTTTTCTTGGTACCTCTTTGATGCATTTCTTGAGTGACTCAGCTGGGACATTTGCTGACCTTACCACCAAAACATACCCTTTTGCATTCATGCTAGCATCGGCTGGGTATCTGCTAACCATGCTCGGCGATTGCATAGTGCTATTCGTGACAAGTTCCAGCGAAAAAGAAGCTAGAGTGGAAGTGGAGGAGGGAAGGACTGATGCAGAGCATGATCATAAGGAGGATGAAGATGGCGTCAGCCCGGTTTTCTTGAAGACATCGTCTTTCGGAGACACCATACTTCTCATCCTCGCCCTTTGTTTTCATTCGGTTTTTGAGGGTATTGCTGTTGGAGTTGCAGGTATAGTTTGAGCTCTCATTAACTCTTATTGATTTCACATTAATGTCATATATATGGTATATAACTCTGCATGCTTTACTTATTCATCTAACTATGGGCAAATTTTCTTTTGCTGGTACATAGAAAATGATTAATTAATTTGAACCTTGTAGTTCGCGCGTCTTCTCAATTAAGTCCCTATAGTTTTAGTTAGGTCGCTATAGTTGAGGTTAGTTTATAACTTCGTCAGATTGTTAGATGGTGCCTCAAATCAGCTCTCACAAGTAATAATTTTGTCTAACAAGTTGACAAATGAAGTAAAAATGATTCTATCTCACAATACAATATTTCAAATATTGATTTGCTATAAAGATTATGTTAGGGACAATCACCCTAAAAGTTATGCTACGGTCAGTCGCTTACGCATGCATAAGAGATTTCTGATTGTTGGTGCATGTGAAGCCAACAATAGATAAATAGTCGAATTTCGCCCATGCTTTTTCCATAGATTATCAAAATTGTAAACTAAGGACTTGATTGAAGAATTGGACGTATATGAACCAGATTGAAGAAAAAAAAAACTCGCTAACTATATATAGAGTCCAAATTGGTCATCTTTCCTATGTGTGTTAATATGTATGTATAGGTATGTAAATCTGATTCTTCAAATAAATCTATGCAATTTGAGGCGACGAATCATTTGAATGCATATAAATTTGCTAAAAGACACACATTCAAAGTTTAGAGTATAATATTGATTAACTTGGCAAGATCTAAACCCTAAACTTTAAGTTCCACAATCCGACTCTAGGAATTCGAACACCGGTTTACGTATACGTATGCATTTAACTATATGTATATATATTGCAGATACAAAGGGAGATGCATGGAGGAATCTGTGGACGATATCATTGCACAAGATTTTTGCAGCCATTGCTATGGGGATTGCATTACTGAGAATGCTACCTAAGAGGGCATTGCTGGTGACTGCAGCTTACTCTTTCGCTTTTGCTGTTTCTAGCCCCATTGGAGTAGGCATAGGAATTGCCATTGATGCCACAACTCAAGGACGTGTAGCTGATTGGATTTATGCCATTTCCATGGGGCTTGCTTGTGGGGTTTTCATCTATGTTGCAATCAACCATCTCATTGCCAAAGGCTTCAAGCCACAAGCCAAATCTTACTTTGACACTCCAGCTTTCAGGTTTCTTGCTGTGCTTCTTGGGGTGGGAGTGATAGCAGTTGTTATGATCTGGGATTAATTAATGAGCTAATTAAAATTACCAGAAATGGATTTCAATAATTTGCGTTGTGTTTGTTTAAAACCAAGAATGTTCGAGTGTTTTCTGGAATTGGAATTGGACAATGGTTATCCTGTTTTTCTTTTTCTTTTGGTGCTTTTTCTGCGTGAAAGGTCTATTAAGTAATCAATACCAAATCCACTCCTCTAAATAATGGTCCTAGAAAAGTTTTTGGCTGTGTTATCCTCATTTGTTTTTGGCTTTTTGATCCCTCACTTTATGTTGCACAATAATGAACTTATTGGATAAGCATGCATTTTATTTGATATTGTTTTGTTCATTACAAACCCAACAATTAACATTAATCCCAAATGACCACTTATAGCATTTGTAATGGTTAGGATATCAATGCAATTTTATTGCATGAAATTGAACTAAAATAGTAAAATCTCACTTGCAATGGTGTGATTTAGTTCATTGCAATAAAGGGTGCTATGTGATGAACCCTATATTGAATTGCAATAGGCTAACTATGAGACCCACATGCCAATAAACTGAAGCAATTGAATTGTATCATTGCAAGTAAAATTGCAGTTCAATTCAATAGATACCGAAATAGTATTGAACTATTGAACAACCATTGCGGATGCTCTTAGTTACAATCTCCACTTTGTCAAAGCAAGTTTTGAATCCAAATCTCATAAACGACAGTTCCGAGTTCAGTCACTTATATTACACTTACTCCGCATTCACAACAAGAGTGCAAAATTCAAAATATTCGAATAATGCATGTGGAGTTTGGATTCACATCCTAATTCATAAATTACTACTAAAGCAACAAGTTTAGGACATTAAAGTGAAATTGTTCTTTCTTTAGTTACCATTTGCTTATTATGCGTTTTAAAAACCTGGATTTCTACATTAGATAATTGGGTCGCTGCTTCTTCCACATTCAATGAATTTAATTAAGAGTGAATATGCTTTAAACCTTTTTGGTTTCTTGCTCCCTTCGTTTGGTACACCATAAAAAAACTTGTCACCCTTCATGTGCTAATCATCTTCAACACCGGTTTCTTTGTCCACAATATCATCATTTCACAGACAGGCTGATCTTTCTCTTGCAGGTACAGGTATGTACGTATAACAACTTGGTCTCCACAATTGAAGTATTACTTTCCTTTTCTTTTCCTTTTTTGGGTGATAAAATTATGGGATGGGGACTGAGTGAGTGTTGAACTACAGTTAGGTGTAGTTAATTTTTCTTAATGTTTTGTAGTTTTAGAGTAGATTATAAGGAGTGTAGTTGGTGCATCAACACATAGGGTAGGGTGAAAATACAACAAGTTCTTGTTCAATCCAAACTAGTTTTAAAGTTTAAGCTTGTGCTAATGGGGTAAGCACAATTGAAACCAAACCTAATATTCAATTGTTATCATTTCTCTTCTTGCTTGAAAGATTGGTGGTGGATCAAATGTCGTCCTCTTTGGAGTCTTTGGTATTAATTTCTGTTTGGCTGGCAGAGGCCCAACCTCAAGTGAGTCTTGCATAAAATTCATCAACATGATTGAACACAAAAAACATGACTTCAAATGTACTATTTCTCTCTTTTGTTTTTCGGTTCAGAAAATATATTAATATTTCTTTGATAGATAATATCTCTTGGGTTGGGCCACCAAAGTCTAACGGACCGTTGGAATTGTGTGGAAATTGGTAATATTTCCAAATTTACCAAAAGTTCAACCATTTCATAAAACCATAATTAATCATAAAGAGACTATTTTTGTCACATGAAATTAGAATGGCAAATATTGTCGGTGTTCATGATGGCAAGATATTGGTGGTGTATTGTCGTGCACAAGACAAAATCATAGCTCATGGTGCAAGCTTAATGGCGTTTCATTTGTCATGTTGCTTTGAGTTAGCTAGGGCTTATGGATTATGTACGTAGAGTTGGAGGTAGGGACAGAGTTAGAAAATTTTTTCTAGAGTGATCAAGAAGTCCAAATATCTTAATTCGGGGGCATTGCATGAATTTTTTGTTTCAAAATTGTATACTAATTCTTAGAAGAGTACATAGAATTACATGTAGATTAGGAGAGACAAGGCCATCTCACACCTACATGTGACTCCACCACTCGAAAGAGACGAAAAAGATATCATATATATATAGATGGTTAAAATTAAGGGTGAAATCGATTCAGTTACCGACTAAAACTCACAGATCTAACAATCAATTAACATCAGTCGGTACTGTTAAAATCTGGTATATGTAAATTAATTTTTAAATATAATTTTGCATGTAACGGTATATTCAAATGTACTATAACTAAGGGTTTTTGTGAGGTTCATAAGATAAACTACATGGCTACTTGTCATATAAGCAATATCTAAATTGTGGAAAATGAGGTGAATGATTAAATAAGGCCTTAGATATTTAATTTAACATACCCCACTTGTAACAACACAATTAGTGGCTTTTTGAACGAGATCAAACGGGCTTTTGTGAAAAGATATAAAAAGAATCCGTTGGATTCGTTGGCTTCTGTTGAGGATAATGATCGATGGACAAAATCTGGTAAATAAGAACAAAAATTAAGAGACCAGCAGCTTGCACCAAATTGACAGATAGAAATAAATAAATAAATAACTTTACTTCATTGACCAACAAGTTCAGTTGGTAAATTCTCTCTACTCTGTCAAAGCCTCTAACATCCCATTACCTAATTGACCAAACACACTTTTTTTCATCTGTATATAAACAACTCTCACAAGCCTCAGTTCCTCGGACCTTTGCAGAGCTATCTCAAAAGAAACACCAACTTTGAAAAAAAAAATGGCTTTTGCTTTCCCTTTATCACCAACATTTGTAGCTGCTTTTCTTCTTGCTCTGAGCTGCTTTTGGTCCCTTCCTGAGTTTTCTGCTGCTGCAGCAAGTGGTGTTACAAGGCACTACAGATTTGATGTACGCACCATAAATATTTATACTGCCACCATTGAGCTTTTTTTTTATAGCTGAAATTAATTATATCTTTGCGTAATTTTTGTGCAGATAAAGTTGAAAAATGTGACTAGGCTTTGCCAGACAAAGAGCATTGTGGCTGTGAATGGGAAGTTCCCTGGTCCTAGAATTATTGCTAGAGAGGGAGACAGGATTTTGGTTAAGGTGGTCAATCATGTTCAGAACAACATCAGCCTCCATTGGTATGACACAACTTACACATTATCTATATATAAAATTCAGATTTTCTAATTATCTATGCATAATTCTCTGGTTTATTTATTTATTGAAATTTTGATTAAACACAGGCATGGGATCAGACAATTGCAGAGTGGATGGGCAGATGGGCCATCATATATCACACAGTGCCCTATTCAAACTAACCAGAGTTATGTATACAACTTCACCATCATTGGTCAAAGGGGAACTCTCTTCTGGCATGCTCACATCTCATGGCTAAGAGCTACTGTCTATGGACCCCTCATTATCCTCCCTAAGCACAATGCTTCCTACCCTTTTCCCAAACCCCACAAAGAAGTTCCCATCATTTTTGGTAACTAAACCCACCAAATTTAATATAATTTCATGTTATGTTGTTCAGAATCTATTTCGTCAAATTCAACAGACAACATAATAACATATGCATGCCACAATTAATTTGCTAACTTGTTGTGACCAATTCATTACAGGTGAGTGGTGGAAGGCTGATCCAGAGGCTGTAATTCGCCAGGCTCTTCAGACTGGAGCAGGTCCTAATGTCTCCGAAGCCTACACAATTAATGGACTTCCAGGGCCATTGTACAATTGTTCCAAAAAGGGTATATATATCTTGGTCATGTGAGCCTTATTGTCTATGGAGCACAAGTCCTGTCTCACTGCAAATGAAGTTCTAATTCTTCTTGTTCTTATGCTTTTCAGACACTTTCAGGCTAAAGGTGAAGCCAGGCAAGACCTACCTCTTGCGTTTGATCAACGCTGCAGTCAATGATGAACTGTTTTTCAGCATAGCAAACCACAGCCTGACAGTCGGGGAAGCAGATGCTCTTTATGTCAAGCCCTTCAAGACTGATATTTTGCTCATCACACCAGGCCAAACCACCAATGTGCTTCTCAGGACAAAGCCGAGCTACCCAAATGCCACTTTCCTCATGCTTGCCAGGCCCTATTTCACAGGCATGGGCACTTTTGACAATTCCACTGTGGCCGGAATCCTTGAATATAAAAACCCTTCAAATCCCTCTGCCTCCACTTCCCTAAAAAACCCTCCTCTTTTAAAGCCAACCCTTCCCCAAATCAATGCCACCTCATTTGTTGCAAATTTTTCAGCAAAATTCAGGAGTTTGGCTAATTCCAAATTCCCAGCCAACGTGCCGAAAACTGTCCGAAAACGCTTCTTCTTCACAGTAGGCCTTGGAACCAACCCATGCCCCAAAAACCAGACATGCCAAGGGCCTAACAACAGCACCAAATTTGCAGCTTCTATTAACAACATTTCCTTTATTCTTCCCACAACAGCCCTCCTTCAATCCCATTTCTTTGGCAAATCCAATGGAGTTTTCACCACAGATTTTCCCACCAATCCTGTCCAACCATTCAACTACACAGGCACTCCATCCAACAACACCAACATCAATGTGAGCAATGGGACAAAAGCGGTGGTGCTCAAGTTTAATACTAGTGTGGAAGTGGTGTTGCAGGGCACTGGCATTTTGGGTGCTGAGAGCCACCCTCTCCATCTTCATGGCTTCAACTTCTTTGTTGTTGGACAAGGTTTTGGAAACTTTAACCCTAACAAAGACCCTGCCAGCTTCAACCTTGTTGATCCTGTTGAAAGGAACACTATTGGCGTGCCCTCTGGGGGTTGGGTGGCTATCCGATTTCTGGCGGACAATCCAGGTAACTGCTGGTTTGTTTGACATAAGCACAATATCAACACATAATAAGAACAAAGCAAATAAATAATGTTAAGGCAGTGATTGGCTCGTACCGGGTACTAATCTATATTTTGTTCGATGCAATCATATATTAACACAATTTTAATAAATATTTACAATACATAAGTATTGTAGATTGGTACTCGATGATACAAACAATATTTTTCCTTTAATGTTTTTGGTATGACTGAAATTGCAGGGGTTTGGCTCATGCACTGCCACTTTGATGTCCATTTGAGTTGGGGACTAAGGATGGCATGGGTAGTCCAGGATGGGAAGCTCCCTAATCAAAAACTGCCTCCTCCACCGTCGGATCTTCCCAAGTGTTGACCGTTGATTCTTTTTTTCGGATACAATAATGAGGCTCCTTATACATTTATCTTTCTGTCTTGTTTTTTTGGTAACTTAAAATTTTTTGTTTTAGTTTGCGCCCTATAGAGTAGCCAAAGGATTGCAACATTGGCACCCTCCCCTGAAAATGGAAGAAAATTGTGGAGATTTTGTGTTAGCCGGAACGTTGATGCTTTTGTCGGAAATAAATAATAATTCAATTTAATATTGATACTTCTTTCGGTGTTGGAAGATGTTTTAAGTTCAAATTCTACATTTCCATTGACTAAAAAAAAATCAAATTTCTCCTTTTTAACACTAAAAATAGAAGATCCACTTATACAAACTCAAACTCTTGATCAAATCCATTCCTACACGAGGTATATTTTTTGTTCACGACATTCACCCCTCTTATGAACGCATGATACCCTAACACGTCATAGCCCTCCACGTGGCACATAAAGAAAATGTGGCCTGTTTTGCCTCTCACTGGCTTCATACATGCACTCAATTTAAAAGACTAGCATGTTGTTAGGTGATGTTGCCTACCCAACCATACATTAACTCTTTATCACACCTATTTTGATGTTGCCTACGTCCAGGCTATAACCTCAGCTATAGCTTAGGTGATTTGATTTTTTATAGCCCAAAGTTAATAGGCAGCCTAAGTGACTTGATTTTTTACACCCCACACGAACACACACCTGCACGACGCGACTATATTCTTCAAATATATTCAAATATTTTAACAATACCACTGCGCGGCTATACTTTTAAAATATATTTGAACAATATAGTCGCTCGGCTATACTCTTTAAATATTAATATATTTTAAAAGTATAGCCACACGACTATACTGCACAATGTGGTTTTCTTTTTTGTAATTAAGTAATATCTTACCCTTTTTCTATGGGTAGTGATTTCCCACTCCCCTTTTGTTTTTTAATAGTTTTTATTATAACAAAAAAGGGAGTGTAAGTGGACAAAATAGGAGTAGGAGCATACAATTTCTAACAAATAATGGAGTATAAGTGCACAAAAGAAGAGTGGGAAAATCAGCTCCCTTTTCTATTACTTTAATTAGTAATTATATTTTAATTATTATTTATTTAGGGAATAATTAGTATTTAAATATTTTCATAAATTCATAAATTACTTAATAAATTTTAATTAATTATTTTGTGGACTTTTAATTTTTTTTTATTATATAAAATTAGTTTGTTTAGTTTAATATTTGCAATTAAGTAATATCTTAGCCTTATTTAATTCTATTAATTATTATTTATGTTTTAATTGTTCTTTATTTAATGAATAATTAGTATTTAAGTATTTTAATTAATTTCATAAATTAACTTGGGCTATAGCCTAGGTGACTTTATTTTTTATAGCCCAAGGTTAATAGGCACCTTAGGTGACTTAATTTTTTATACCCTACACGGGCACCCACACCCTTATCTCACCCATAGAAAATCTCATATATTTTTCTTTAGTTAACTAACCTCACAAGTAGAAAGAAAAACATAAACTAACCCTACGCACATGACACATACCCCTTTTAAGAAAACATTCATTTCATTCATTCAGAGAAAATCCTTTACCTTGGCTTGAATACCTTCTTTTCATTTTTATTTTCCAGGTTGGCTTGAATGGCTAGATGGACTAAAATGGTTCAATTTTTTTCTTCTTCTTTTGTAGTGGATAAATGCTTTCAATTTTTTTCCTTTAAGGGAGAAGTTTATTGTGTAATTGCAATAATTGACCTTAAAATTCCTACTTCAATTTTTCTATGTTGCTAGATTTACATAGGTTTAATTTTTTTAAAAAAAAATTAGAAATTTGGAACTTCTTGTTATCAATGAAATTAACTTGTACCGTCAAGTTTTCTGTCTTTTAGTAGGTTTGTATGTAAGGTAAATTTAGCCCACCATATTTTAAAATCTTTAGTCCATCCATGGTGGGATATGTTCTTGATCTATATTCTATAGCATGTTTTGCAAATGAAGTGGAATATACACACTCACATAACATTCACATGTTGCCATGCATAAGAAAAACTTATGCACACATGTCACAATATTATTAGCAATAATGTAGAAGCTCTTACTTAGTTTCACTAGAATTTGTGTGTATTTGAGAATCATTCTTCAACTATGATCCACACCCATAGCATGCACGGATTGATTCCCCAAATGATTTCAAATCATCAATCGAGAACACCAATTTTCCATACAAATTTAAAATGAGCTAAACCTCTCATGCATCTCTTCCATTGTCAAATTGAAAACATTGGTCTTTCCATGTTGACAATTGAAAAGTATCAAACTTTTGAGCAAGTTATTAATATATTCCTTTTTTTCAGCAGAGGCATATGGCACAATTAGAATATAGGTAGGCATCGAGATTAGTGTATAAGGAGGATACATGGGAGAGAAGCCACATTCCTAGATTAAATCAAACTAAAGTATGATGTCACTTCTAAGAGAATTTTTACTCGAAATTTCTCATCAAAGCAAAGAGAAGGTGTGGCTTGCATTTCCGAGGCAGATAGAAGAAGTTACCTCTAATGTCTTATTATATTGGCAGCTCCCCCCAACATCCAAAGGGAATCTTTCTCTCCTCAAAACATTAAAAAAATTAAATTAAATATTTAAAATTATGGATGTTGGGTTAGTCATGAGATTTGATTAACTTGAACATTGAATATGCATTTGATATATATGCTAATATCTTCTCACAATGTACATATAAAAGACTTGGTAGTTCATCTCAATTGTAATTACAAATGATAAATATGATTCTCTAATATAAACCAAGATTAAGAAAAGCAAAAAATTAAACTTAAAAAACTAGAGAACTTTTGTGTTATCAGTCTCCTCTTGATCAGATGGGAGAAAATTTGATACATCTTTGAGTCCCATCACACAGGAAGATGATATATATATATTTATATATAAATGAAATAAAAGAGGGGAGATAGCTTAATTTCTAGCACTAACACAATAATGGATTAATTTGGGAAATCCCATCAAGATTATAATTAATCACCATGCTTATGCCAACAAACAAGCATAGCAACACATCTTCTCATGATGTAGAATCTAGCCTTCTGTTCCTTGGCAAGGCTGCTACACTTTCTGCTGATTTTAGAGCTTTTCTGTGACGTACTTCTGGGAAGTGGACACTTGGAATTAGAGGCATTGCTCTTCTGTGAATAGGTCCTCATCAGAAGAGGAGCATTTGAAGACTGGCTTCTTGTTGATGAACTCCTTGTGAATGCAAACTTGGAAGAAGAAGAAGAAGAAGACGAAGTGCCTTCTTGGTGCTTCTTCTGCAGCTTCCATTTCTCATCCATAAGAGTATGTAAATTTGCAATGCTCAAATTTGTGAGGTTGATCTTTGATCTCTTCTGGCCTCTGGTAGCTGGCACTTAACTTCTCATCAACTTGTTTGCTTTATAATGTCAATGTGTGTTTCTGAAGAGAGAGAGAGAGATGGGAGTATGGCCCTGTGGGTCGGTGGGTACAGTGGGGGTGTTGGTGTTATTATATAGGGAGTGTTTTGTGAGTGCTTACGTATAGTGATGATATTACTGACCACATATGTTATATATATAAGTAGAACTTACTAGAAATTTTATTATTGAGCCCTTAGATTTTCATCCATTATTAAGATTAAGAAGGTTTATTTATTTTTACTAAACCCAAGTAATTAATCAGATTTGCTGCTCTTCTCTAACTTGTTAGTTTTGTGATACAATTAAAGGTGAGCATGTTTTAAATTCGACAACTGACACTCGTTAAATTAACATTTCATCATTACTAGGCAAACAAATTTAGTTTATTTGATTTTGATCATTATGATTAGGTACATTATTATGATTATACTCTAGGTGTAATATATACTGAAATTCTAAAATTAAGATTTATTTTATGTTGTAATATGAAAATTTGATGGGTAAATATTGGACAAGTAATTTTGTTGGTGCAGCATGTGTGCATGATCATTTATTGATGACTGTCAGATGGCTCTATGTCATTGACCAATTGGCTGCTTTCTCCGCAGACTCAAAGTCTTTTTCCCATTGCATATCAATCACCTCCTAATTCTGAAGGAGGAGAAGATCCACTCTTTTTCGTTTTTATTTATTTTGTTTTTTTTAATGTATATTTTTCTTTTGAGACCACCATTATTGTACGGTGATGCAACGTTAAAATATATGGAGATCCACGCAAACCTTGGTCATTGGACAATTCTTACTTCTGTTCTTCATGTGAAAGGTTTGCACCAATTATTTTCCATAACACATACAGTACTCTGCAGATTTTGAAATTTCAAATTTCTTTTCCTTTTGTTTTTTGGTTACCCTGAGAATATCTTTTTGAAAATTTACAGGGCCCATCTGGCTTACTTCCCCACCAGAACCAGAAAATTTTGTATATCACAGCGATAACACTATTTTGTTATTCTCAATCGGTTATGTTCCGCCACACGTGATAATTACATTATATTGAAGAGAAAAAAAACAAACCCCCTCTTACCAATTAGTTTATGTAAGCAATCTTGTGATTAAATGCATGCGCTTAAATTTGTTACTGTTTGACCATGCAATGCATGCTATTCTTCTTCTTTAAATTTCCTCAGCTTTATCTTGGATTCTTTTTCACGACGACTGTGAAAAGGAATTCATTAATTACAAACATCTAGGCCCCTAATTATCTAATTAATCAAAGATACCTTCTATGTAATTGTAAAACATTGTACTAAGATAATCTTAACGGACCTAACTAAATGCTACTATATATATATATATACCAATTGTAGCATGCATATGCAAGTTTAAATAATTATGTACATATGTAAGAGGTTAGGATTCTCATGCACATGCACCCTTTGGATCAACAGTCAGAGAGAGTTTGAAATCTTATGCAGTATTCTATCAAAATTTTCAAGTATGTGGTTTCCGTTAACTATTAAAATAAATGGTGCTGATCCCTGCATGTGCATGATGAAATTGATCTGGTTTATGTTTCCTGTGTGTGTTGGCCAGCCTGCTGCAAGATTAATTGTTACACTCATCTGGAAAATAAATCTGAAACCATTTTATAACTTCTAAAAACGTACGTTTATTGTTATAAGAGGTTTATAACTCAAATAATTAAGAGCAGTTATTCTTGTACTCGAACTCTTGTGTTCGAATGCGCTCTACTCCAATAGATCGCTTGTATTAAAAAATACAGTTTACAACCCAAATAACCCCCAATATAAGAGAAAAATAAAAGAGGGGGAATCTTATGATTGGGAATGTAATTAGCTAAACAAATTATGTTTGCCTGAAGGTTTGACTAGTCAAAAGGTCTATTCTAAACTTTTTTGGTGCTTGCAGTTCCAGTTTAATTTAATTTGCTGGGAGAAAGAAGACTTAATATACAAAACTCTGAATTAGTCTAGTTTAATTATAAATTAAAATGTGAACATATTAGCAATTAAAGGCTTTTTCTCTCTGGAAAAAGAATAGTATTCCCATGTGACCTTCACAGAAGATTTGAATCATTGTTAGAGGAATATTGACCACAAAGCAGAATCAACTTCAGCTTAATAAAATTAGTAAAAGTACACATTAACGCAAACCAGTCCTTCAAAGAAATGGGTAAATAAACAGGTGCACGTGCTTTAGACACAGGCGGTGCCTTGTATGGTCATCTTGTGGTGTGGGCTCTTATTTAGATACTAATGTTTATAAACGTCCCCATTTTAGAGTTGAATTTTAGTATTCAATAGTTTTTCTTTTTAAAATCATTTGGGGAGAGATGGGTTCGGACTTAGGATATCTTATACTATTGAGAAGAGAAGTGCGTCACTAAATTAAGAGCTAGTTGATCAGAATTGAATAGTCTGAGTGGATATTGACACGGTCGTTAAATCAAAATTCAAATACCATATTTATCATCTCACATGTCTTGAATTTAGATTAATAAATCAAGTCATTTAGTTGCATGGGTATGATTATATCTAGGTAGTCGTTTACAACCCAAATAAACCCCAATATAAGAGAAAAATAAAAGAGGGGGAATCTTATGATTGGGAATGTAATTAGCTAAACAAATTATGTTTTGCCTGAAGGTTTGACTAGTCAAAAGGTCTATTCTAAACTTTTTTGGTGCTTGCAGTTCCAGTTTAATTTAATTTGCTGGGAGAAAGAAGACTTAATATACAAAACTCTGAATTAGTCTAGTTTAATTATAAATTAAAATGTGAACATATTAGCAATTAAAGGCTTTTTCTCTCTGGAAAAAGAATAGTATTCCCATGTGACCTTCACAGAAGATTTGAATCATTGTTAGAGGAATATTGACCACAAAGCAGAATCAACTTCAGCTTAATAAAATTAGTAAAAGTACACATTAACGCAAACCAGTCCTTCAAAGAAATGGGTAAATAAACAGGTGCACGTGCTTTAGACACAGGCGGTGCCTTGTATGGTCATCTTGTGGTGTGGGCTCTTATTTAGATACTAATGTTTATAAACGTCCCCATTTTAGAGTTGAATTTTAGTATTCAATAGTTTTTCTTTTTAAAATCATTTGGGGAGAGATGGGTTCGGACTTAGGATATCTTATACTATTGAGAAGAGATGTGCGTCACTAAATTAAGAGCTAGTTGATCGGAATTGAATAGTCTGAGTGGATATTGACACAGTAGTTAAATCAAAATTCAAATACCATATTTATCATCACGCATGTCTTGAATTTAGATTAATAAATCAAGTCATTTAGTTGCATGGGTATGATTATAACTAGGTAGTTAAATCAAAATTCAAATACCATGATGATCATGTCTTGAATTTAGATCAATGAATCAAGTTATTTAGTTGCATGGATATGGGTATGATTATATCTAAGTAATAGGGTTTAACCACTCGATCTAGGGAATTAATGACAAAACTGAATTGGTCAATCGAACCAAAGTTTTGATGATGGGTCAAAATAGAGTCACATGGTATGTTGTGGTTGGTATACAATGCACCTTTTAAACTTTTCTATAGAGAGTGTTTTTTTTTTTTTTGGGTTTTTGATAAACGAAGTAATTGTTAAATTCTGGTTCATGATCATGTGGGTTTAAGAATATGAGCATTTGGGACATGAGAGAGCCCACATGCATACATGTGAGCAGCACAAGGGTGGCCAGGAGGACGTGGAAGTGGAACCATGGAAGGCGTGGACCCTGTCTACTACACTCGAAAGAAAACTGTGTGTGCATGAAAAAGACTTGCTATTTTCTTTCAATCATATTTTGTCATTTGAAATTTTTATCACGCGTGACAGAATATGATTGATTGAGATAATAAAACAGTGTTATCCCGGTGATATACAATTTTTTCTCGTGAGAGAGAGAGGTCTGAAAGAAACAAAAGGGTCCTCACGTTTCACATTGTTGGCTTCATATAAACTCCAAATAATAATAATAATAATGGTTTCCAAGAGACAAAAATGTCAGAAGGACGTTTGAAATCGGGCTGTATAATTTGTGTATTATTATTCTTGGGGCGGAATTTACATTCCTCAAGCAAGCAAAGCATCATCAGTCATAAATGGCTTCGGTTCTGTCCACAATTTCAATGGATACACACTTGCCTAAGCAATAAGCACACATAACATGACCGACTAAAAGTAGTTCCTTCTTGTTTAAGTATGTATCTTGATCAGAGATATGTATAAATATAAGACAATTTTTTTTGTTTTTTGCCATAAGACTCATAATTTGCAGAAGCACAACAGATTCAATATTAAGTATTTATATTATTAATTGGTCATATTAAAATTTTGAAATATAAAATACATATTGAATTAGTTTTGTGGCATAATAAAAAATAGAGGGAACATTTGAACGAAGAATTTAGTTAAAGGATCAAAATACAACTCGTCGTTGTCAAATTCAGAGACCATCTGAATCGAAAACCAATTAATTTATGTACTGAGATTATTATGCATAGCTTTGGATCCAACTTACAATAGGACTACGGCTTGGGTCCATTGCTTTGATGTCACTGCTAGAAATGGACCCAACAAAAACCCACTAAGAGATGCTGCAGGCTGTACGTACTTTGACTAGTCCCCAACCCCCTCTTCCATATTGTCCTTTATGTTTTTCGTTTTGCTATCCATTTTGTCCTTCTTTCTCACTTCACTTATTAGTATTCAAACGTTCTTGTTGGTGGTGTTGTTGGGTTAGATTTGAATAAACCATCATCCATAATGTTGGCTGGAATGGACGTTTGGAGGGATAGGGAGCGCTAGCTTGGAGCTAAGTTATCTCTAATCGCTTTCAGCAAGAAGAGGGTACATGCATATACGTAGGTTGCTTTGATAATTCGATAATTGGATCCTAGTGTGTAGTTGTGCTCGTCTAATCCTCAACTACCTCCCCCGAGTTCACTAATATTGA